AGTCCTGAAGGCGGAGATCAAGGACAAATTGTATGTGCTGAAAATATCTATGCACCGACTAAGGATAAAGTCATCATTAAATTTCTTAACAATTTAAGAACGATACTCCAAAAAGAAAATCTGGACGACGAAGAAAATATAATTATACGGAGTGATTTTAATTATCCTCTGAATTCAGCCCTCGATAAAAAAAAAGGTGGTACAATGTTATCAAGGAAATCAGTTATTGAAACCATTGATTGTGTACGTGACGAACTTGATTTGGTTGACATTTGAAGAAAGAAAAATCCTTTTCTAAAAAGCTTCATGTAGAGCCAAAACTCGCCAATGATTTTATGCCGCTTGGACAACTGGCTGATTTTAAGTAAGCCAGATGACAGATGTATTTGGGATTGGATAAGTATAATCTTAGGGCACACGTGGTACAGTTTTCAAAAAGCAAAGCAAAGGAAAAAAGAGAAAAGGAGAACATATTGCAAGATAAATTTAACAATGCAAAGCAAACGTTCGAATCCGATCCTACCAACAAAAATGAAAGCGATTTCAATACGGCTAAAGAAAAATTGGAACTTTTTTATGAACAAAAACTTCAAGGTATCATCATTCGCGCACGGGCACGAGGACGGGTGTGAACACGGTGAAAAGAGTACGAAATATTTTCTCAATTTGAAGAAAAGGAAACACGTCAAAAACATTTGAAAAAATTCTGAAAATTGAAGATTAGTGGTTCGATCACTCCTGATTCGTTCAAAATTCTTTGTGAGGAAAAACATTTCTACCAAGAATTATATACGAGCAAGAATTTGGGTAACAAGCAAGCAACAGAAACTTTTTTGAATAGTATAAATATCCCTAGCCTCACAGATGAACAAAAGTTCTCGTGTGAAGGCAGCATTACGGAGGAGGAATGTGTTCAAGCTTTACAAAGTTTCCAGGGTAACAAAGTTCCTAGCAATTGGGGACTTCCAATCGAATTTTACAGCACATGCTGGGCAATTATTAGCGATCCTTTCGTCAACTGTGTCAACGAGTGCTTCACTAATGGTGAAATGTCATGAGAAGAAAGGAAAGGACCGTTCTCTTTTAGACCAATTTCACTTGTCAACGTTGATGCCAAGATTATCTCTAAAAAAGTCTTAGCTACCAGGATAAAAGACGTCCTACCAAGCATAATCCATCGTGACCAAAGTGGTTTTGTGAAGGACCGCTTTATAGCTGAAATTGCAGACTGTTCGATCGATCTTTGATTTAAGGGAATTCTCTCTAAAATAAAATATTCCAGGTTTAATAATATTTATAGATTCTCACAAAGTATTTGACAGCTTAGAATGGAACTTTCTTTTCAGCTGTTTAGAGGCCTTTGGTTTTGGTCCGGAATTTATTTGGTGGGTTAGGACACTGTACTACAATATTGAAAGTTGTGTTATCAACGATGGTGTCGCAACTGACTATTTCTCACTGGAAAGTGGCGTGAAGCAAAGTGATCGTCTTTCTCCATACATGTATTTGTTCGTGGTAACAGTTGAGACTCTTGCTTTGGTTATTCGTCACAGAGATAATTGGTATTAAAACCGATGGTGAAAAAACAAAACTCCTTCAATACGCTGATGACACAACGGCCGTTCTGGATCGGATTGTCTAGAGATAAAACTTCAAAACCTTTTGGTATAAAATGACCTGATGAACCAATCAAAGCCCTTACTAAATGTTTATTACTCATACGATATCAAACTCTTGCACGAAACTATTTATTGAGGGATAGGACAGTGTCAAAAACCTTTAACATGTGGTCTTTAAAGAGGTCTTTCTATCTACGGAAAAGTAACAATTATCAAGTCTTTAATCATACCAAAATTCGTTTACATTTCCTCGCTTCTGCCGGTCCCCAAGAAAATCGCTTAAGGGTTAAATCAAACGATATTTAAATTTTTGTGGAAAGGAACCGAGAAAGTGACAACACTTTCCACAATTAATGAATACGAAAAAGATCGATCTGGAAAGTATGACTAAATCTTTACGACTAGCCTGGCTGAAAAGAATCTTCCAGTGCAATAATGGTACTTGGAGAAGCTACTCACGTTTTTCGTTGTAACGTTTTGGGGGCCTCTTTTTACTTCATTGTAATTATGACATTAAAAAGATCCATTCCGAGTTACTTCAGGAGTGGTCTGAGTTTCATGTTTTCGATAGTAGAAGGGAATGGCAATATATTTGGTGGAATAACAAGGAGACGATAATAAGAATGATAACAATAATAGCAATAATAATAATTTATTATTTATAAGGCGCAAAATAGCATTTCAATATATGATCTAATGTGCACTAACAACCAAAAAAAAAGCAAAACAAACAAACAAACAAACAAACGAAAAAAAAAAAAAATCAAAATATTGTATAAAATTATACGTAAAATTTCCTAAAAAAACCTAAAAATGTAGCATAAATCTCTTTTTACATAATGAATTAAAAAGGCAATTGTAAGATTCCATTAAAAAATGTATTGAAACTAAGTAATTGAAATTATCTTAAAAACGTTAATTGATAAGTCATTAATGAGTCGTAAATCTATAAATCACAGGCTTCTTTAAAAAGTAAAGTTTTTAGTTTGGCTTCAAGCTTGTTTCCATCCTTTTAAAATGCACTTGGAAGTTTTCTCCATAGAGTCGGCGCAGCCAGTTGGAAAGTCCTGTCGCCTAAGGTCTTTTCAGACTTGAGCGTCGGTGGAGCCAGTAACAGTTTATCATTTGACCTAACGTTTTATGAGCACTTCTCCTTGACTTCGATTAAATTTTGTATATAACATGGAACCAGTTCATGTATTGCTTTAAATGTTTTAAGTATCACCTTGAATTTATTCCTGACACCTATTAGTAACCAGTGCAACTGACGCAGTACAGGTGTGATGTGACAAAACCGCGGAGTATTTAACAATTATTCCTCTACCCCGAATAGGCTATTAACTCAGAGGCCATGAGGATAAGGGTTAACAATAAGCCTGTTTTGTAAATGATATTTTGTTAGAATTAGACACCACGTAAACGGATTTTGGATAAATTCAGTATTGTTTCTACACTTGGTGGTGTGTCACGCAGATGTACTGTTAACGTTAGTGAAAAGTGTACAATGCACTACATAAGCAGGTTGCTGTAACGATTTAGTTGGTTATGTTTTAGTTCTTTTGTGAGCAAGATTAAAGATTTTACGCTGGAAGAAGTTTGGAGTATTTGCTGAGATCCTGTGTACCAATGGTGTGACTAGCCTGGTTCTCTATTTGAGAGTAGTCGCTTCGAGTTAGTTTTTTTCTTGAAGTATCCAGTTTTGCCGTGTTCCCGCATGCGCTTATAGGCAGAAAATCTCACGTCACGTAGAGAAACAATGATGTCGTCACAAAGAGGCACGAAAACAAAAATGGGCACTTGCCGTGTACGCTTTCAAATAACTGCTACTTCTAAAGCTCAGTCAGTAAGGGGTCATTTTTAGGTGAGGGATACTTTCACAGTAAGGGTATACACCTAATTGCAATAAGGTTGTCATAGAAAAAAGCAAAAAGCAAAAAGTTAAATAGGAATTAATTAGCATGTAATTATCATAGCTTGCAACATTCACAACACACACGCTTACAGCTGAATATTAATCACGTAATATGAGAGAAATCATTTACGTCAGTTTCTTAGTGTCATTCTCATGCAATTCAAGGCTGAATCATCTAGCGAATTTCAAACGTGCTCGAATTACAAAGCACATCCGATAACTACCAAAGAAATAATGGCTCCATTTTTTGTCAATAAATATAGCCTGGGGTAAATTCAAGGAACTCAACGCATGTTTTAGATTAGTGCTAAATAGAAAAGCCAGTCTGCGTATGGTTTGCAGTGCACAACACCATCTGATCACAATTTTCAAGTAACAAATCAGGGGCGTAGGCAGGACTTTTCATCGCAGAGAGGGTAAGGGGGTCCTCCGCCAGTTCCTCAGCTGAGCCACAAACCAAGCTTCGTTTGTCAGGACATAATAGATTGGCGACTGAACGTGCGACAACTGAGACATAACATTGCTCGCGTCAATTTACCTTTTTCTTTCTCGAATTTTGCGACTTCTTTTGATAGAGAACGTTGGCTCTAAAATGACTATGGCGCCTGTCTATCTTACAGCTCGGAATTACGGAATTATCTCTTGCTATTGTGAATGAATTCTTAAATAATTGTTAAATACTGAATTAGAATACGCAAATGTAAATCACATGGCTAATTTATTCCTATTTGGCTTTTTGTTTTTGTTTCTACGACAACGTTATTGCAATTAGGTGTTTACCGTAACGAAGACAACTTTGCCTATCTCCTTTAATAAACGTACGCCACTTCGAAAAATAACGATTATTATTATTCGAAGCAAATTTTTCTTTCTATTCACTGGCCGACAGCCCACCAAGTGACCTGCAAATAACTGCCTACAAATAATGGTCTGCTCATCCGCAATGCCGTCCAACTGTGTTTCGCTGCAAATAACATTCTGCACATGCGTAAAGGAAACCGCGCTTTTCTCCTTCTTGCGATCGCCCTTGCTTGAAAATGGCCGATCGCTTCGCTTCCTGAGGATATTCATTGAACAAGCAAACTCGGTGATCGAATGATAAAACAATTATTGAACTCGGTTATCGCAAAATATCGTGATTCGGCTGAGGCAAATTATTGATCTGCGAGACTCTGACAAATCACGGTATTTTGCTCAACCTCGTCCAATAATTGTTAATTATTTATACCGATGGTGGACTTTCAATGCGATATCCTGACTATTTAAGAAAGTGAGAGGAAGGGGAAGGGGTCGCTTTTTCAAAGAAGGCGCTTGTTTTTTATTTTTGTTTAGGGAGCGGTCCCTTATTCGGGGAAGGGCCCTTATTAGAGCAAAGGCGCTTATACGAAATGTCGTATACCACTCTTTTATTTTTTCTATCAGCAATTAATTTCTTATTTATCTGCATGCATCGAATTCCAGATATATACGGCTTCAAATGGCTATCTAACCTAGATCACACTAACAGAGCTAAGGTACCGCTTTCTTTAGTATTTATTTAGAAAACCACGCTAATCATAAATGGCTGAGACACATGACGCGTGAATCATCCTAGGAAAATGATACCCTACTAAAAAAGTAGACCGCTTGCAGTTCCTCTTTTTCATTAAGATTCGTCGAGCTCCTATCACAGCAAGAACGTTGTTAAAGCAACGCAGTTAAACAAAAAGGGGATTAAGACGAGACGAGGAAAGGCGATCCTCATATCGGACGTCTCTATTTCAACCGTGTAACTAGTTTTTAATTTGGCAACAAATGGTCGCCATTTAGAACTCCAAGAGCAGTTTCTAGAATAGCTGACTTTAATTTTGTGGAATTAGAAAAAAACGGATCGTAAACAAAAGTGGAAAAATGCACTGTCCCGTTGTAATAGTGAATGGACCAAGACTTCTGATAAACTGTAATGAGACAGCAGTTCACTATGCCACCATTGCTAGTTGCACTCCACAGGAAGCGAATCTTAGTTATCAGCTGTAAGGGAAAAAAGAGCATAAAAAATTTTACATTGTCATTTCATGTGACATATGCGCAAGATCAGTTTGACTGTAACGAAAACAATTACATTCTCATTTAAAATATCAAGAGCTTGGAAGCAAAAACTTGGTCAAAAATCCGGAAGAACGTAAGGGGAAAATTTACTGGATGATATGCACGCTTTCTTTCATGAACATATCCACGAGTGTGCTTTAACCTTCAGTTGGTACTACATCCAAACGGGACTACCGAAGAGCAAACACAAGGAACCATTAAAACCGCAGCGACAAGGTTACGGTTAGCAGTTTCACATTTTACCAAAACGGTAGTTTTTATATTTGAAATCTTTCATAATAGACAGATTTCATGAGCTATAATTCACCTCTGTCATTATTATGCTGTACTTTAACCCTAAAATAGCATGTTTGAAAAGACCGTGCACGACTGTACACCTGGAGAAAATATCCCGACACTGTTTAAACGTGCGTCCATTTCTTTTTAAAATGTATGAGAGGTCAATAATTTATGAAAATCTCACCGTATGCCATACTCCACAGTTTTTCGACAAGAGATCCACACTGGTTCTCCCAACTGTACTTTTCTTCATAGCTTCTTCGCAAGCATTGGATTTCTTTAAGACGTTGTTCTCTTCCTTTACCACGGACAGAAGCTATTGCCTTCGCCCATTCCCTGGGGTCTTTGGATTCCACAATGAATGACTGCCCTAGTGGAAGCTCACGCAGTGCATGTCCGAAACCTGAATTTCCACTCACCAGAATAGGAAGACCCGCAGACAACGCCTCAAGGGCTGATAATCCAAAACCCTCTGTCCTGGAAGGCATGATGGCAAGATCAACCTCACAAAGGAGATCTTTTAACTGCTCTCTGTCCTGTATAAATGCCCTCACAAGGAGCTGATCTTCAGAGATTCCAGGCTGGAGCAAGCGCTTCACGACTTCTTCCTGTTTTCCTTTGGGTGTCCCCACAAAAACTAGACAATAGGAGCTGTCCCTTAATTCAGCTAATGCTTTAGGAACAATGTCATATCCCTTGAGTTTGAAATCTTCGAGGTCACCACGACCAAAGGTTAAAACCTTAAACTTCTCTCTGTCCTGTGAAGCTTGGTTTATTGTTTTGAATTCATCGAATGTACCTGGAGTTAGCTGAATGATATGTTGGTTTTTCGTACTAGAGCGAAGGTAGGAGGAATAAGCCTCTTTTAATTTAGCCCCAACAGCAACAACAAGATCTGCCAGTTTACACAATTCTACCTCGGTTTTATTCTTCATTTCACCTTTGTCAATTGCTTTAGGATAATCCTTGTACATTCCAAGTTCTTCAGGTACAGTGTGCACCATCTGCACCCATTTACAGCCATGAGACTCGGTAATGAATTGGGCTTGCTTGCCCAGCTTTGCACCATGGCCAACCACGATGTCGATCAAAAGGTCTCTTGGTGGAGAGCACAACCAGTCAAGAGGATCATCAAAGCCCGGACGCTCCTTTGCTTCACGAATGGTAACCTTTTGTTGTGAGGCTCTTTTTCTCTCTTTCTCAGAACAAGCATTTTGTGGAACAAAGAAGGTAACACTGACTTGAGGCTGTTTAGCTAGTAGAACTGCAAGCTTTGTATTTATCGTTGACAAGCCACCCATGGATGAATTCCACTCACTCGCTCTGTATCCGCCCCTGGTCAGCATATGCATCGCTTCAGGTAAATCAGGCTTTATTATCTCAAAGAACTTTCTAGAACACAAGGTGAAAAGTGAAGGCCCTAAACAAGAACCTTGTGGTACACCACAGGCAGATTCCAGCTCTTCGACTGTTCTCTATTCACGATGACATGTTGTGAGCGACCAGACAAATATGACCTCAGCCACTGCAGTGCTGTGCCTGTGATTCTAAAGGACATCTCAAGTCGGCGAATCATGATATTATGATCCACGGTGTCTAAAGCTGAACTTAAATCCAAAAGGACTAATAGCGTAACATGCTGTCGATTCATGTTGTGCAAGATATCATTGACAACTCTCAAGAGCGCTGTTTCAGTGCTAAGCTGATAAGGGTTAACAATAAGCCTGTTTCGTAAATGATGTTTTGTTAGAATTAGACACCACGTAAACGGATTTTGGATAAATTAAGTATTGTTTCTACACTTGGTGGTGTGTCACTCAGATGTACTGTTAACGTTAGTGAAAAGTGTACAATGCACTACATAAGCAGGTTCCTGTAACGATTTAGTTAGTTATGTTTTAGTTCTTTTGTGAGCAAGATTAAAGATTTTACGCTGGAAGAAGTTTGGAGAATTTGCTGAAATCTTGTGTACCAAGGGTGTGACTAGCCTGGTTCTCTATTTGAGAGTAGTCGCTCCGAGTTAGTTTTTTTCTTGAAGTATCCAATTTTGCCGTGTTCCCGCACGCGCTTATAGGCAGAAAATCTCACGTCACATAGAGCAGCAATGATGTCGTCACAAAGAGGCACGAAAACAAAAATGGGCACTTGCCGTGTATGCTTTCAAATAACTGCTACTTCTAAAGCTCAGTCAGTCAGGGGTCATTTTTAGGTGAGGGATACTTTCACAGTAAGGGTATATACCGTAACGAAGACAACAATGCCGTATCTCCTTTAATAAACGAACCCCACTTCGAAGAATAACGGTTATTATCATTCGAAGCAAATTTTTCTTTCTTTTCATTGGCCGACAGCCCACCACGTGACCTGCAAACAACTGCCTACAAATAATGGTCTGCTCATGCGCAATGCCGTCCAACTGTGTTTGGCTGCAAGTAATATTCCGCACATGCGTAAAGGAAACCGTGCTTTTCTCCTTCTTGCGATCGCTCTTGCTTAAAAATGGCAGATCGCTTCGCTTCCTGAGGATATTCATTAAACAAGCAAACTCGGAGATCGAATGATCAAACAATTATTGAACTCGGTTATCGCAAAATATCGTGATTCGGCTGAGGCCAAATATTGATCTGCGAGACACTGACAAATCACGATAGTTTGCTCAACCTCGTCCAATAATTGTTAATTATTTATACCGATGGTGGACTTTCAACGTGATATCCTGACTATTTAAGAAAGTGAGAGGAAGGGGAAGGGGTCGCTTTTTCAAAGAAGGCGCTTGTTTTTTATTGTTGCTTAGGGAGCGGTCCCTTATTCGGGGAAGGGCCCTTATTAGAGCAAAGGCCCTTATACGAAATGTCGTATACCACTCTTTTATTTTTTTTTATCAGCAATTAATTTCTTATTTATCTGCATGCATCGAATTCCACATATATACGGCTTCAACTGGCTATCTAACCTAGATCACACTAACAGAGCTAACGTACCGCTTTCTTTGTATTTATTTAGAAAACCACGCTAATTATAAATGTCTGAGACACATGACGCGTGAATCATCCTAGGAAAATGATACCCTACTGAAAAAGTAGACAGCTTGCAGTTTCATTAAGATCCGTCGAGCTCTTATCACAGCAAGAACGTTGTTAAAGCAACGCGGTTAAACAAAAACGGATTAAGACGAGACGAGAAAAGACGATCCTCATATCGGACGTCTCTATTTCAACCGTGTCCGGCGGCAATTCCCTATTAAATAAGTGTAAGAAATCTCATGACTAATTTTTAATTTGGCACCCCTCTCGTCGCCATCTAGAACTCCAAGAGCAGTTTCTGTCAACAGCTGACTTTAACTTTGTGGAATTAGAACCACGTTGTCGGAGAAAACAAAAGTGGAAAAATGCACTGTCCCGTTGTAATAGTGAATGGACCAAGACTTCTGATAAACTGTAATGAGACAGCAGTTCACTATGCCACCATTCCTAGTTGTACTCCACAGGAAACGAATCTTAGTTATCAGCTGTAAGGGAAAAAAGAGCACAAAAAATTTTACATTGTCATTTCATGTGACATATGCGCAAGACCAGTTTGACTGTAACGAAAACAATTACATTCGCATTTCAAATATCAAGAGCTTGGAAGCAAAAAAATTGGTCAAAAATCCGGAAGAACTTAAGGGGAAAATTTACTGGATGATATGCACGCTTTCTTTCATGAACATATCCACGAGTGTGCTTTAACCTTCAGTTGGTACTACGTCCAAACGGGACTACCGAAGAGCAAACACAAGGAACCATTAAAACTGCAGCGACAAGGTTACGGTTAGCAGTCTCAAATTTTACCAAAATGGTAGTTTTCATATTTGAAATCCTTCATAATAGACAGATTTGATGAGCTATAATTCACCTCTGTCATTATTATCCTGCACTTTAACTTTAAAATAGCATGTTTGAAAAGACCGTGCACGACTGTACACCTGGAAAAAATATCCCGACACTGTTTAAACGTGCGTCCATTTCTTTTTAAAATGTATGAGAGGTCAATAATTTATGAAAATCTCACCGTATACCATACTCCACAGTTTTTCGACAAGAGATCCACACTGGTTCTCCCAACTGTACTTTTCTTCATAGCTTCTTCGCAAGCGTTGGATTTCTTTAAGACGTTGTTCTCTTCCTTTCCCACGGACAGAAGCTATTGCCTTCGCCCATTCCCTGGGGTCTTTGGATTCCACAACGAATGACTGGCCTAGTGGAAGCTCACGCAGTGCATGTCCGAAACCTGAATTTCCACTCACCAGAATGGGAAGACCAGCAGACAACGCCTCAAGGGCTGATAATCCAAAACCCTCTGTCCTGGAAGGCATGATGGCAAGATCAACCTCACAAAGGAGATCTTTTAACTGCTTTCTGTCCTGTATAAATGCCCTCACAAGGAGCTGATCTTCAGAGATTCCAGGCTGGAGCAAGCGCTTCACGACTTCCTCCTGTTTTCCTCTGGGTGTCCCCACAAAAACTAGACAATAGGAGCTGTCCCTTAATTCAGCTAATGCTTTAGGAACAATGTCGTATCCCTTTAGTTTGAAGTCTTCAAGGTCACCACGACCAAAGGTTAAAACCTTGAACTTCTCGCTGTCCTGGGAAGCTTGCTTTATTGTTTTGAATTCATCGAATGTACCTGGAGTTAGCTGAATGATATGTTGGTTTTCCGTACTAGAGCGAAGGTAGGATGAATAAGCGTCTTTTAACTTGGCCCCAACAGCAACAACAAGATCTGCCAGTTTACACAATTCTACCTCGGTTTTATTCTTCATTTCACCTTTGTCAATTGCTTCAGGATAATCCTTGTACATTCCAAGTTCTTCAGGTGCAGTGTGCACCATCTGCACCCACTTACAACCATGAGACTCGGTAATGAATTGGGCTTGCTTGCCCAGCTTTGCACCATGGCCAACCACGATGTCGATCGAAAGGTCTCTTGGTGGAGAGCACAACCAGTCAAGAGGATCAAAGCCTGGACGCTCCTTTGCTTCACGAATAGTAACCTTAAGTTGTGACGCGCTTTTCCTCTCTTTCTCAGAACAAGCATTTTGTGGAACAAAGAAGGTAACACTGACTTGAGGCTGTTTAGCTAGTAGAACTGCAAGCTTTGTATTTATCGTTGACAAGCCACCCATGGATGAATTCCACTCACTCGCNTGTGCACCATCTGCACCCACTTACAACCATGAGACTCGGTAATGAATTGGGCTTGCTTGCCCAGCTTTGCACCATGGCCAACCACGATGTCGATCGAAAGGTCTCTTGGTGGAGAGCACAACCAGTCAAGAGGATCAAAGCCTGGACGCTCCTTTGCTTCACGAATAGTAACCTTAAGTTGTGACGCGCTTTTCCTCTCTTTCTCAGAACAAGCATTTTGTGGAACAAAGAAGGTAACACTGACTTGAGGCTGTTTAGCTAGTAGAACTGCAAGCTTTGTATTTATCGTTGACAAGCCACCCATGGATGAATTCCACTCACTCGCCAAAAGAGTAATTTTTAACTCTCTCGAAGAATTTTCTGCATCACTTTCCACTGCTCCGTGTTTTGTTTGCCTACCCAACTTTGAAGATCGAGCTTCCTGTAGAAGACAAAATGTAACTAGTATCACATATATAGTTCTAGTTTTTATATGGGTCTTCTGTGCCAATGGCCTTAGCGAGAATGAATTCCCTGTAGTATAGAAGTAGTCGATTTTTGAACATCTGCGTCCCAAGTGAAGAAACCTTTGGCTTGAAGACGAAAACCAAAGACCTGTCGTATCATAAACACTTTCAAGAATACTGTACGCACTTTATCATCTGTGCTTACAAACACTAAGCGGTATTTTTTTGAGTTAAAACATGACTTCTAGTTGTAAAAACGTTAATCTCAGCCTGCAAAGAAGGCAAACTGTAATTCGCTTTCATAATATTTTGGTATTATATTATTATTCATGAGTGAACAAAATACAATTTTGAGCGAAAATCTGAACTTAAATACAGAAATCAGCGAACTAAAACGGCCCTATTGGTACCTACAAAATGCAACGGAGCGTGAAGGAGTAGGTAGAAACATACAGGAAATCTTCAATACATGAGTCATAATTTGGAAACAATATGCAAAGATAAATTCACCCCGGGAGCATTATTTGTTGCAGACCTTACTCAGCGGGATCTGTTAAAAAACGAAAAGTGTTTACCTGTACTATTTGCGAGGGAAACCAAGGTGTAAACTGCTTAACCTGCACTTTAGGATTTGGAGCAAACGTAGAATTGGTGCAAATAGGTATTCTGTTCTTGCGCACCTCGGACTCAGCCAGGAAGTGGAGACACTCCTCCTCTTTGCATTGTTGAGCATCATGATTTCTACAGTGACCAACAACACCACCACGAGAACAGACAGGACATAAAAAGCTCATTTCGTATCTCATATCTCTTTGCCAGCGAGACTCGCTGTGCATGCACTCCAGTATTGAGCACAGCTGCCTATATACAGCACTAGCACAGATTACCTCAGTGTTCTCAAACTGGACATCCGCTGATAATTTCATACTTGCAGAGAAATGTTCTACCAACTCACAACTATGATTATCACCGTGAACTACGACTTCAATGACAGACGAGCGGCAAATAAGAATTACCGAGTCGCCATCTGCAGATATGAAAAATCTGGCAAACTCGTGGAACAACTGAGGCTTCTGTAATATCTGACATTTGTCTTTGACCCACTGAAAGAACTGAACAACCAGCCTTGGAAACAAATCTGGAGGGACCTGACCGTTTGAAAATTTAACAAATAGAGGAGGAATTTTTGCAGTCTCAACCAGCCTAAGGGCCTCTTCTGGTGGATGTGACCTCAACATTGATGGCACTAGATAGCTCTTGTTGTTTGAATCATCTGACGGCCAAGGGCATAGCAAGCTAAATTTCTTCATGATTTCAATAAGATTCTGATAAGTTTCCTGGTTGTCGAACAAAGAGTCCCACGCATGCACCAAAAGCTTTTCAGCCAAGATTCCCTCCTTCTCAAGCCTACACCATAAGTCTACAAACTTTTTCTTTTCTTTAGAATGATACGGCTTGACAGTTATCACCTTCTTGAAAACATCAATTAACCACTGAGGATCCAAGACTACTAATGTATTTAGTTCATCAGTATCGTCAAAATGGATTAAGCTTTTCAAATCATGCAAATAGTTCATCATGGTCTCGATTTCCTTGTTTTCATCAATGCCGCAGGCGTTTGCAATATTTTTTGCTGTCTCCAGGTAAATCCACTGATGTCCCTCTTTCTTTACGACCTGAAGCACCTTCTCAAATTTCAACCACTTTATTGGAACCGTGTGGTGTGTTTGGGGTAGCTCTTTGGCCACAGAGACTAATTCCTTCCGCAAGCGCTGGACTTCGAGGCATTCAGACGTTTTAACATGTAAACTTGTGTTATCCACAAAAAACACGTCATACAAATGAGACCCATACGGTTTGCTCCTTAGAGAACCAAATATCTCAGTGGCTAGTTCTTGGGCATCACGACCAGAGTAAGGGGTATCGGCGTGAGTGCAAACTAAGAAAACTGGAGGAAGCTTCTCCGGAAGTAGCTCTGATGTCGAATCTTCCTCCTGAGTACTAGCTAAAGAGGCCACGGACGTCATCCAAAACTCCAGGTAATCCAAATTGGTCTTGAGACTACTGAAACCCTCCAAGGTTTTCTTGTACACCCCTCTCTTCACCACGGGCTTGGCTTTGTCGTATGGATTTAAGCTGAGATCATAAACCAAGAGGTATATCGCCTTCTTTGTTAGGAAAAGTGGATGTGTCACATAGTAAACAGACTGTCCAGCAAAATCCCAGAAAGTTGAATAAATTTCTTCTCCGTTATCTTCCAAGTTGCGTTGAAGTAAAGCTTCAGTAAGAGACGCTACCTCATCAGGAACTCCTGAAGCTGAGGAGTTAACTTCCTCCAGTTTCTCTCCTGTTAGATCAGGTGTAACACTGGGTATGTGTATACTGTTGGCGGGGTCTGAATCCTTTGGTTTGTGAACATTTTCTGTTTCTTTTGATGACTCGATGGTTTTCAATTCCCCTGGAGACTCAATGCTTTCATGACCCAAAATACTTAAATCCTCCTCTGCAGATGTTTGGACATTTGTAACTTTCCTTTCTCTCTCTAGACTATCTACAATACGTCTTGCTGTTTGCAATTCAAAGGTAGGGACTTGATCAGAGTTCTGCCCCCTATCCGGTTCCCCAGTCCTCCATGTCTCGGTAGACACGTTGAAGAAAGACGGATCCACTTCTATACCATCAGTGCTGTCTTCCTCCGGATCGAAACAAATTCCTCTCAAAGATTTCTTTAGGCTGGTCTTTCCTGCTCGGTCTTGTCCAATCAACATTAGCGGAAGCCTCTTGACCAAGGTTTTCCCTTGTGAAAGGGCTTTGTTGTAGGCTTCAACAGCTGCAAGACCCCGCGCACGTATCTCAGCAGGAGCTGCAAAATATAAGTAATTTACTAAGTAAGTAAGCAAGCAAGTTAAGTAAGTCAGTCAGTCAGTCAGTCAGTCAGCCAGCCAGTCAGTCAGTCAGTCAGTCAGTCAGTCAGTCAGTCAGTCAGTCAGTCAGTCAGTCAGTAAGTAAGTAAGTATGTGAGTGAGTGAATGAGTGAGTGAGTGAATAAGTAAGCAAGTAAACGGTTTATTAATAGACTATCCCTCGATGGCTCTTCATCTGTTTTTGGCTAAAAATGTCAAATGTTTACAATAAAGATATAAACTACAACACTAAGTAAGAATTAAACAATTAAAACGAAAACTAAACAAGTATTTACCATTAGAGGTCCTAAAAGTGGACTGTTTGTTTACAATATCGGCACTAAATACAATCAACTCCCTCATAGCGACCACTTCTAGTTAGTGACCACCTTCCATAAGCGACTATTTTTCAAATATCCGTTTTGTATCTCACTAAAACACTGTTTCAAAAACTTTATCGCAAGCGACTACATTTCTCAAAAAAATTTCGAAAAAAGACTAACATTTTACTTTCAAAATGAACGGTCCGGCTGGCCAGTTCTGACTTTTGGAAAGGGCCCAAAATGTTATGTACCAGTTTTTATCTGCTCCGAGTGCTACTCGATGTGAAACATTACTGGCAGTTGTCTATTTGCCTAATTTTAGCTTGTATTGTAAGGTAATAACTTTCTGTAATTGTGCTATTCAGTTCAGTGTGAACTTATTTTCTTTATTTTTCCCGTAAAATTATAGGCATGCCAGCGCACGGTTCTTTAACCCTATTCAGACCGAGCCCCCCTTCCCCCCACACTAAGAAGTTGAATAACTTAAAACCGTTCAAGCTAAGAGTGCCAAACTTGGCGACTTTTTCAAAAAGTTCTCTGGGAACATTTTAAAGTCGTCGTGACGTGTACGTCAACATTGACGTTACCATGGCAACCGAGTTTTAACAGCTGTTTTTTTTTCAAAATTTGCATTTTTTTCTATGAAAGACCTTTGTTTTTTACGTTTACTTAATGAATTTTCATATTACACTCCGTTATTAATATAGGGACATTGAGCTGTGACGAATGTTTCGCCATAACTTTTTTGGCGCGATGGCTATGAAACTTTGAAAAAAAAGTACAGATATCATTCGGCAATAATATATTAAATAATATTTCATTGGTGGTAAGTATTTGAAACGAAATTTGCGCTTAAATGGGCCTACTGTTCATAAAAAATCGCGTCTAGTAAAAAATTTTGCAGATATTTTTTACTAAAATTTCTGGTCACGCCTTTTGTTGATATAATAAACATACCAAATAAATTTCGGAAAAATCGTTGGAACAGAAGTCCCTAACTAGAAAGTCCTTCAAAATTCAGCTGTGGAATGGTTTTAAAATTTCGAAAACGAATTGCTCTGAGGTAGGACGAGCCAACAGTTCGAATTTTCGGGACAAGTAGTTTTGATGCTTGCTAATTCTTAAAACAAAGCCGATTGCTAATCGTACTATTTTTTTAAAAAAAGTACTCTTTAGTTGAAGAAGTTGAAGTTGAATGACTTGTTCCTGAAACTGCTGCTACATGCATTTTAATGCATTGTAACGCATCTTCAACAACTTTACTACTGTACTTTGTATCCAATTCAAGAAATAGGTATTGAGATGATAAGCTACCTTCTCTTAGAGCTCAGGTATATCTGTCCGAGCACGTTTGTTTCTGACTACGAAATGAGCGCGGGCGGCGTTTCTTCGAGGAATTCACACCTCAGCCGGAGGAAACGACAACACAGACCTTAAGATCGAGGTCAATTTACTGCAAACGACTACGGTTTTTCGGTTAACGGTTTTACGTTACCCGTCTGCCCATATTTGGGACTTAAGATGCGCAGGTGGTAGCTCGCGGCTGCCAAGTTTGTTTTCATTCATCCACTTACTTCTATTTTAGCAGAGAAATTGTCGTCAAAAATACGTTTTTTGGATTTAGAATTCGATAATCAATAAGCAAAAGAGTTCTAAAAAGTCGTATTTCTTCCCAAACGTGGGATTGTGATGTTTTAGGGTGCAAAAAACGTTGCGGTAAATTACTTACCTCTAGAGCGGGGTCTAGCCGTACAAACATGAACCTCAAACCGCAAACCTGACGGCAAGGCCCTAGTCACGTGACTTCTTGACGTTCGCTGTTCGCGGGAAATGCCGAAAAACCTCAATCTTAAGGTCTCTAATGATGGCCATGCCTGCGAACCGAACTATATCACAACGCAAAATATAATGATCAAGAAAAATACTATCCGTGTATAAATTTATAACTGTAAAAATTTCGTGACTCCTTTCTTCACGGCTGGGTAGTATTTTTCTTGATTATCGCATTTTACTTTGCGATATAAACCGAATGCAAATATGGCGGACCTCCCGGCCGGCCTGGGTCTAGCTGCGCGAGAACAAGGCTAGTCAGGCTTTGACTGCGTGTCTTAGCGATTGAGTCGATCGATGTGGTTTCCTTCGAGTTCTTTACGTACTTTAAGAGCCATCGAACAGGAGATTTAACTCCAGCAGAAACGAAAGTTGATTATCTCCCCCTTGCCAAGGTTCTTGACGAAGAAAATCTAAAGATTACTACATGCTAATTAAAAGAATAATTGCCCAGTGTCCAAAAATCTCCAAACACTTGTGTCAGGATTTCAATCTAACCCAAGACCAGCTGAAAAAAAACATTCCTTCTTCCAAATGAGGTAGCGTTTGAACCTTATCTAAAAGCCTTTCAATACAAAGTCCTTAATTCAATTTTATTTACCAATAAAAAGTTGAGCAAAATAGGTTATATCCAAGATGATAAATGTTCACTATGCAAAACGGATTCGGAATCCCTTTACCACATCTTTTTTGAAAGCAGACACACCAAGCAGTTTTGGAAGGAATTTCAATATTACTTTTACACATTGACAAGAGAATTCGTCTGTCTGACCTTACAAGACGTTATTACAGGAATATTATATACAAATTGCCCTTTACTGAANCACATCTTTTTTGAAAGCAGACACACCAAGCAGTTTTGGAAGGAATTTCAATATTACTTTTACACATTGACAAGAGAATTCGTCTGTCTGACCTTACAAGACGTTATTACAGGAATATTATATACAAATTGCCCTTTACTGAATTGTTTGATACTGATCGGTAAACTATACTTATGAGGTTTTAGAAGAAATCAGACTTTTCCAGTCATAACTGCCTTTTCATCCAAGGTTAGAATTAAGTATGAAACAGAAAAGTACATACCTGTTAAAACTAATAAAATGGACAAATTTAATAAGAAGTGGGCTCTGCCTTTAGACTCTGTACCCTAGTGTCGTCTGTACTTATAACGTATTTTTCTTTTTTTGTATAGTTAGTTTACCGTTAAAGTCCATAGTGTAATGTAATGTAATGTATTTGTAATTTATTGTAATGTAATATCATGCGATGCCATGTAACGTTAGTATTGTAACGCTGTGGAGTATTTAATAAAAGTTAAAAGAAAAAAGAAAAAAAAAAGATTCTTGACGAAGAAAGAAATCAAGCGATTTGGCGCGGCGAATGGAAGCACTATACTATCACGGAGTCAAACGAACGAAAGTGTACTCGCTTCACTTCAGAAGAGAAGACTCACGAAACTATTTGAATGGGAGAATTCCCGAAAGATGGTTCTGTCCCATGTCGCTCGTCTGAATCTTAAAACGTCTCGTGTCAGTGTTCATTAAAGCTTCACGTCGCTGTCGGAAATTGAACGAATATTCTTTGTCTTTGTCGGAATTTTAGGAAAGGGGGATAGCGATGCGTTGTAAAGAAACCATTACAGTTGCGCAATTTCTCAGTTACAGACCTTTCGCTTATAGAACACCTATAAATCGCCATTCACAATTAAGGGTGTGTTCCTTTCGGTGAATCCAAGAACGGATTTTCGATCTTAAAACGGATTTCGCGTTCCTTTCGGCAAATCCAAATTCGGATTTTTGATCTGGTGAATCCTTTTTGAAAAATGATTCACATTGGATTTGAAATCCGAAGAATCCGAATCCAGATTAACGGATCAGTGATCTACGCTGTTCCATTCAAAGTGGATTCGAAATTAGTCAGATGATCCAGCTGTATTTCCAGTTGAAGTATTTCCGTAGAGTTTCCTAACTGCTGCCATTTGCTGTAAAACATCTGAAAACACTAGAAGATTGTTCATAGTGGTACAGTAAAATATCCATGTGCTGACCATTTGTCGCTAAAGATTGCTTAAAAGAACACAAATAAGTAAAAGGGACAAATAACTGCTATCTTTCTACAAACTCACTTGTGGACGCGATAGGCACTTGGTCGTGTTACATAAAAAACCGAGCTACGAAAAACTTCAACTTTAACGAGCTCCTTTCTTAATCTGTTTATGCTCCATCGTCGTTATTCGAACTACCGACCACAAAATTCTGCACGGTATAATCGCATAATTTGTCAAAAAGTAGAAAACATGTCATTTCTTGAGAGGCTCAGGCTGTCATGCATATTGCACGCGTTTGCGAAAGGTTAGCAAAGTCACAAATCCAATTTCGGATCTCACGTTCCTTTCGACCGCAAAATTCGGAAAATCTGGGATCAGAAATCTGTTTTTGGATTTGCTTAAAGGAACACTGTCAACACACCCTAAGTGATCCACGTTCAACACTTTTTAAAATGTTGAACGTGATAAATCGTACGTGAAGGCCGGTTAACGGTGGTCTACTCTGCGAGAGCGGTTGGAAGGTCGGTGGTTAAGTTATCTGGTCCCTGGTCTCTCCACCGTCGTCACCGTCCGAAAAAGGTCGACAAGGATGTGAGAAGTTCAGGAAAAAGCAAAATATTCACCAGTTTCACACAGACCATAATTCACCTTGTTTAGCTCCCCCAAAACTTGGCATAACCATTGTTTTCGATTTCTCTTGGGACGACTGTAATACACTGGAGAATTTGAAAACGATGGTTATGCAAAATTCTGAGGGGGAAAAGAAGGTGCATTATGGTCTATATGAAAGTAGTGATTACAAGAGATGTAAAGTGTGTATAAAATTAAGCTATTTGATGGACAACCTAGTTCCAAGGTCTCCCAGGAGTTGTGCGGGGTTACACAAATGAAGACTACGCGACGGGCCAACGCGACGCGCTCAGGAGCGTCCACTGAAACTCCCTGAAGAGAGACAATCTCTGAAGCGGAAGGAAAATTGACGAAGATTACTTCTTCTTGGCATTCAGACTGGTGATAAATTAGCCAAACCACCGTTCTTTGTCGCATATTCTCGGCCTTACCGTCACTGTCGCAATTTGGCCGAAGGAGGTTGTCGCTTGTCGCGATTTAATTTTAGGCTCTGTCGCTACTTTTTGGGTCATGTCGCTTGTCGGAATTTACCCTGGCAGGGCCTCTCTAAAGCAAGTGAAGCGAGCACACTTGCCTTTTCGCCGTAAAGTGCTTCCTATCGCCGCGCAGAATGGCATGAATCCTTAACTTTTGTTGTGAAAAGATCTCGGGAAAGTAAAGGTAGTTTCAGCTAGAGTAAAATNGAAGCGAGCACACTTGCCTTTTCGCCGTAAAGTGCTTCCTATCGCCGCGCAGAATGGCATGAATCCTTAACTTTTGTTGTGAAAAGATCTCGGGAAAGTAAAGGTAGTTTCAGCTAGAGTAAAATCTCCTTTTTGGTGGCGATCAGGCACGCAACAACTCGAAGCAAGCCATATCGATCGACTCAATCGGCAAGAAGCGCAGTCAAAACAAAACTCTCGAGGCCTGACTAGCCTCGCTTTCGCGCAGCTAGACCCGGGCCGGCCGAGAGGTCCGCCATATTTGCATTCGGTGTATTCAGATCGGTTCGTAGATATGGGCATCATCATGGGCATCATCATCATCATCATCATCATCAACAACATCATCATCATCAACGTATCTCTGGCTGAGGTGCAAATTCCTTGCAGAACTGCTACCCGTGCTCATTTACTATCATAAAGGTGCTCGAAAATTCTACCTGATTTCTGATACGATGTACTTTATAGACCCAATACCTATTTCTTGAATTGGAAGCCAACGCACAGTCGTAAAAGCCGATGAGACATTGAAATATATGAAGCAGAAGTTTCAGCCAAAACTGCTAAAGCATATTCCAAAAAAGCCGAGGAGCAAGTCATTAGACCTCAGAGCAAGGTTTGGAGCAATTAATAGTGCATCTAAAACTAAAGAGTACCTTTCAAAGAATAGCATGAATCTGCTTCGTGTTAAGAATAAGCAAGCATTAAAATTACTTGTCCCGAAAAGTGGTTCGTTTTACTTCAGCGGAAACAGTTTCTGTCAATTGCCAATCTTCCAACTTCTGTTAGGACATGTTGAAAAACATCCCATATGTCCTTATCCCACTGCCTTCTCGGTCTTCCTCTTTCTCTTTTCCCACCTATATCTTTCCCTCCAAGATGGGTTTTCTCAAGCTCTCACTTCTTTTTAAATGGTCAAAGTATTTCAGCTTTTGTTCCTTTATAAAGGTCTCTAACCATTGATCGTCCACTTTCAGTTCCTCCCTAACTGACTTATTTTGTTCCGTGCTTCGTCCATGATATTTTTAAAATTTTCCTGCAGCACTTCATTTCAAAAGCGTTAATTCACGTCTCACAGTCATATGTAGCTATGAGGAGAACGCATGCTCTAAGAATTCTTTGTTTTGCTTGAGGATCTTGACCATTCCACAAGAATTTCAACTTCGACAGCTTGTTCTTTGCCATAGCAAGCCTTCTCCTTATTTTCTCCGACCCATCTCCACCTCGAGATATTGTAGATCCCACATAAACATACCGTAAAATTCCGAAAATAACCCCCTCCATGTACAAGCCCCTCCAAATATAAGAAACGATCTTCGGCTGCGTCCAAACGGACGCAACAACTCCCAACATTGTTGGCGCAACAATGTTGGGAGTTGTTGCGAGCGTGTTGGCAGTGGTGTGCAAACGGATGCGTCAACCCCCAACAATGCTGGGACCTGCAGTGCATCGTGGGAGGGATACAACCCATAAGTCTTTGTAAACCATGCGTAATGAACGTGCGTGGCCCCAACAATGTTGGAAGAGCTGTGCAAACGGATCCAACATTGTTGCGCTACGCCTCGGCGATCACGCAACAAAAGAAATGTTGGGAGTTGTTGGCTGAAAAGTTTGACGTTTTCAAACTTTGCGCAACAACACGCAACAACATCCAACAACATGCAACAAGGTGTGCAAACGGACGCACCATGTAACATCCAACAATGTTGGGAGTTGTTGGCCAACAATGTTGCGTCTGTTTGCACGGGGCTTTAAAAACATGCATCGTAAGTGACAGGAAGTAATAACGTCCGACATCATAAAGAAAGTAAACCAGACAAAAAAACAACAAATGATCAACCTCAATAGAAGGAGGCAGTGTGGCCGCGCGGTTAGAGCGCTGGACTTGTAATCGCGAAGCCCCGAATTAAAGTGCCGCCCTGACCGCTTGCTGGATTTGTTGTGGATAGTCCCGAGTTCAAATTCTCTGGCGACCACCCTTGTAAATAGCCAGCTGGTTTGCCTCCAGCCAGTTGGGATTCTTAACCCCATTAAGTTTGATTTAAATTACTTGTTTAAGGCATTTGCTAGGCCCCACTAACATTAATGCTATAAATACTGCCCAGGGTAAATAACGGAAATTTATTTATTTAGTTTTAGAGACAAGTCTTCTTAACTGCAATGATAAAAGTTTATTAAAAATATCATAAAAATAGAATGTGCATCTGCTCAAGTTTGGGTAATTACTCGAGAATTACAATACATTCACGACCGTGATTAGTGTTAGGCGACGTTATAACTAACCATAAAAATTATCACATGTGACTCAAGCTTACCTCTTTTTTCCATAACAATCCCTTGAACTTTTTTTACAAACTGGAAAAACTCGGGGAGCTTCTTAATTATTTTTTCCGGTTCCCAGTCTTCGGAATCGAGCAACTCGTCCCACTCTCTACAGTGAAGGTGAAAGTCAGTCTGTCAGAAAGGAAATAAGATAAAACACTTTAGAATGATCAATATAACAGGTTATACACGTCGGACGTGTAAAAATTCCAATAGCGTTTCTCTTCAGTCAACTTCATTTTAATAATGTTACTTCACATGCTCTTTTTTACGGCGGCCATCTTGTTATGCGCAGTAAGAGATGCGCAGTGCAAAACTAGGGAATCACCTTAACTGCTCCAAGTGCTACTCGATGTGAAACATTACTGGCAGTTGTCTATTTGCCTAATTTTAGCTTGTATTGTACGGTAATAACTTTCTGTAATTGTGCTATTCAGTTCAGTGTGAACTTATTTTCCTTATTTTTCCCGTAAAATTATAGGCATTCCAGCGCACGGTTCTTTAACCTTATTCAGACCGAGCCCCCTCCCTCCCCCACACTAAGAAGTTGAATAACTTAAATCCGTTCAAGCTAAGAGTGCCAAACTTGGCGACTTTTCCTTAAAGTCCTCTTGGAACATTATAAAGTCGTCGTGACGCGTACGTCAACATTGACGTTACCATGCCAACCGAGTTTTAACAGCCGTGTTTTTTCAAAATTTGCATTTTTTCTATAAAAGACGTTTGTTTTCTACGTTTGCTTATTGAATTTTCATGAAACACTCCGTTATTAATATAGGGACATTGAGCTATGACGAACGTTTCGCCATAACTTTTTTGGCGCGATGGCTACGAAACTTTGAAAAAAAAGTACAGATATCATTCGGCAATAATATATACAATAATACCATTCATTGGTGGTAAATATTTGAAAAGAAATTTGCGGTTAAATGGGCCTTACTGTTCATAAAAATTCGCGTCTAGTAAAAAATTTTGCAGATATTTTTAACTAAAATTTCTGGTCACGGATTTTGTTCATATAATAAACATACCAAATAAATTTCGGAAAAATCGTTGGAACAGAAGTCCGTAACTAGAAAGTCCTTTAAAATTCAGCTGTGGAATGGTTTTAAAATTTCGAAAACGAGTTGCTCTGAGGTAGGACGAGCCAACAGTTCGAATTTTCGGGAAAAGTAGTTTTGATGCTTGCTAATTCTTAAAACAAAGGCGATTGCTAATCGTACTATTTTTTTAAAAAAAGTACTCTTTAGTTGAAGAAGTTGAAGTTGAATGACTTGTTCCTGAAACTTCTGCTACATGCATCTTAATGCATTGTAACGCATCTTCAACAACTTTACTGCTGTACTTTGCATCCAATTCAAGAAATAGGTATTGAGATGATAAGCTACCTTCTCTTAGAGCTCAGGTATATCTGTCCGAGCACGTTTGTTTATGACTACGAAATGAGCACGGGCGGCGGTTCTTCGAGGAATTCACACCTCAGCCGGAGGAAACGACAACACAGACCTTAAGATCGAGGTTTGGTCAATTTACTGCAAATGACGACGGTTTTTCGGTCAACGGTTTTACGTTACCCGTCTGCCCATATTTGGGACTTTAGATGCGCGGGTGGTAGCTCGCGGCTGCCAAGTTTGTTTTCATTCATTCACTTACTTCTATTTTAGCAGAGAAATTGTCTTCAAAAGTACGTTGTTTGGAAATAGAATTCGATAATCAATGAGCAAAAGAGTTCTAAAAAGTCGTATTTCTTCCCAAACGTGGGATTGTGATGTTTTAGGGTGCAAAAAACGTTGCGGTAAATCACTTACCTCTAGAGCGTGGTCTAGCTGTATAAACATGGACCTCAAGCCGCAAACCTGACGGCAAGGCCCTGGTCACGTGACTTCTTGACGTTCGCGGCTCGCGGGAAATGCCGAAAAACCTCAATCTTAAGGTCACTAATGATGCCCATGCCTGCGAACCGAGCTATATCACAACGCAAAATGTAATGATCAAGAAAAATATTATCGGTGTATAAATTTATAACTGTAAAAATTTCGTGACTCCTTCCTTCATGGCTGGGTAGTATTTTTCTTGATTATCGCATTTTGCTTTGAGATATAAACCGAATGCAAATTACCCTGCGAACAGAGTCTCCTTCGATCTTCCTAGATAAGTCGGGAAGAGGAAGGAACCTCTGGCGACATCCTCAACAATTCATATTGAGCATGCTCCAAATTCAAATTTTTCTGCGACGTCAATCAAACCGTTACCGTAGCATCCACTTAGTTTGTCAGCAAATGTAAATGTCAGCGGGAACGTAACAGTTCGTTTTCACCCTTCCGTAGCTGTGTTTCTTCTGGATTTGAAAGCTCTATAGGAACAATTTTACCTTTGGAATCTAAACTTGCCATGTTTCAGTGTAAAGAAGATAAAAAAAATCTTAGAGCTAAGGTAAACTTACGGCGCTTTTCAAAAACAAAGCATCTAACCTTGGAACACAGAAACACACAAAACGGATCGAAATCCACCAATTACAAATCACGAACGACGACCTTTTGTTTCGTAAGAGGTTCGCTAAGATGAATAAAAAGCGAGAAAGCGAAGAAAGCAACGCTTCTTCAGATTTTGATTGACGTCGTAGAAAAACACAAAATCCAAAGAAGCTTTTGGCATCGCAAGTTGGGTGTTATCCACAAACAGCTGTAAAAGCATCGATCATTTAAATGCAACATGGATTCTGTAGCCTCATGATCTTATTTTGAATTAATGTTACCGCAAACATAGAAGAATAAGCATAGATAATGTTTCTTAAAGATTATTATTTTCATTCAAGACCCGTTTGTTTATCCTTCCAAAAACTTCGCGTAACACTTACTGGATTGTGAATCCGTTCATGCCGCAAAATCGGCTAAGTACATGGTTAAATCCAAAACAAAATCCATCTATTTGTTTTTCTATGAGGCGTGGGCGCAGAAGGAGTCAGCAAAATTCCAGAATATGCGTGCGTGCACAGATAAAACTGGTTTATCCAGTATAAAACTTGTCTGACTCATCCAAAAAGCTGGATGATCGGCAGATCAAAGGAAATTGAAGATGTCGGCAGAGTCGCTTCCTCTTTCCCGACTTATCTAGGAAAGATCGAAGCGACTCTGCTAGCAGGGTAAATGCAAATATGGCGGACCTCTCGGCCGGCCCGGGTCTAGCTGCGCGAGAGCAAGGCTACTCAGGCTTTGACTGCGTGTCTTAGCGATTGAGTCGATCGATGTGGTTTCCTTCGAGTTGTTTACGTACTTTAAGAGCCATCGAACAGGAGATTTAACTCCAGCAGAAATGAGAGTTGATTATCTCCCCTTTGCCAAGGTTCTTGACGAAGAAAATCTAAAGATTACTACATGCTAATTAAAAGAATAATTGCCCAGTGTCCAAAAATCTCCAAACACTTGTCAAGATTTCAATCCCATAACCCAAGACCAGCTTAAAAAAACATTCCTTCTTCCAAATGAGGTAGCGTTTGAACCTTATCTAAAAGCCTTTCAATACAAAGTCCGTAATTCAATTTTGTTTACCAATAAAAAGTTGTGCAAAATAGGTTATATGTTCACTACGCAAAACGGATTCGGAATCCCTTTACCACATCTTTTTCGAAAGCAGACACACCAAGCAGTTTTGGAAGGAATTTCAATATTACTTTTACACATTGACAAGAGAATTCGTCTGTCTGACCTTACAAGACGTTATTACAGGAATATTATATACAAATTGCCCTTTACTGAANATCCCATAACCCAAGACCAGCTTAAAAAAACATTCCTTCTTCCAAATGAGGTAGCGTTTGAACCTTATCTAAAAGCCTTTCAATACAAAGTCCGTAATTCAATTTTGTTTACCAATAAAAAGTTGTGCAAAATAGGTTATATGTTCACTACGCAAAACGGATTCGGAATCCCTTTACCACATCTTTTTCGAAAGCAGACACACCAAGCAGTTTTGGAAGGAATTTCAATATTACTTTTACACATTGACAAGAGAATTCGTCTGTCTGACCTTACAAGACGTTATTACAGGAATATTATATACAAATTGCCCTTTACTGAATTATTTGATACTGATCGGTAAACTATACTTATGAGGTTGTAGAAGAAATCAGACTTTTCCAGTCATAACTGCCTTTTCATCCAACGTTAGAATTAAGTATGAAACAGAAAAGTACATACGTGTTAAAACTAATAAAATGGACAAATTTAATAAGAAGTGGGCACTGCCTTTAGACTCTGTACCCTTGTGTCGTCTGTACTTATAACGTATTTTTCTTTTTTTGTATAGTTAGTTTACCGTTAAAGTTCATAGTGTAATCAGTGTAATGTAATGTAATGTATTTGTAATTTATTGTAATGTAATATCATGCAATGCCATGTAACGTTAGTATTGTAACGCTGTGGAGTATTTAATAAAAGTTAAAAGAAAAAGAAAAGAAAAGGTTCTTGACGAAGAAAGAAATAAAGCGATTTGGCGCGGCGAATGGAAGCACTATCCTATCACGGAGTCAAACGAACGAAAGTGTGCTCGCTTCACTTCAGAAGAGAAGACTCACGAAACTATTTGAATGGGAGAATTCCCGAAAGATGGTTCTGTCTCAAGTTCGCTTTGTCCGGTCTCTTACCAAGGAAAGGTAAACATTCCTCTTGGCCCGCCTTGTCTAGCTTTTGCTATTTGCGGGCGGAGATGCATGGCAAATTGATGTGTCGCGACTTAACAATCCTTAGGAGTTCTCATCGATCGGGCACACTTCTGTGCATGAACTGTTTACAACGAGGCCGAATGTCTTCACAGTCTTCACGATCTTGTGTTCAAGAATTTTGAGCAGTGCCATAAAAGTAGCAATTTTTGGAAAACTCGAAACCCTTCGACAAGTTGCTAAAATAGATCACGCGCACGGGCAAAAACAATGTTCGAATACCTGCATGCTCTTTCCCTGCCAGAACCTTCTTCCTTATTTTTACTTTCTTAGTTCGCGATAGTTCCTCTTTTAGTTTTTTCAGTGCACTTTTATCAAAGGACTGTTCTTAAAACTTGTCTTCTGGTTCTTACATGGTTTCACAGGCCACGCTTGTAGGTTTAACAGGCTCTTGTTATTGTTGTGTTTCATTCACACTCGTCACTATTGTAATATTTTAATAGGTGAAAACCAAAAGATTTTAAAGTCGACAGCGGATGCTCCCTTTCTCGAGAATGTTTACCTTTTGTTGGATAAATAACACACCATGCAAACATCATGGAACAGCACCATCTCTTGTCTCAAATACTTTCGTGAGTCCTCTCCTCTAAAGAGGCCCTGCCAGGGGGGGGGGGGGGGGGGGCCCCTTTCCCCCCGCTCAATTTTTAAAACCGCCGGGTCTGGTTTTTTTTTATTCCTCCTCGCCGGTGGGAAAATAACAAGAAAATTTTTTTTTTTTGCGGGTTTTTTTAAAAGGGGGGTAAGAGTCGGGTTTAAAGAACAACAACATTTTATCTAGTCTATGANCTATAATCGCCATTCACAATTAAGGGTGTGTTCCTTTCGGTGAATCCAAGAACGGATTTTCGATCTTAAAACGGATTTCGCGTTCCTTTCGCCAAATCCAAATTCGGATTTTTGATCTGGTGAATCCTTTTTGAAAAAGGATTCACATTGGATTTGAAATCCGAAGAATCCGAATCCAGATTAACGGATCAGTGATTTACGCTGTTCCATTCACAGTGGATTCGAAATTAGTCAGATGATCCAGCTGTATTTCCAGTTGAAGTATTCCCGTAGAGTTTCCTAACTGCTGCCATTTGCGTAAAACATCTGAAAACACTAGAAGATTATTCATAGTGGTACAGTAAAATATCCATGTGCTGACCATTTGTCGCTAAAGATTGCTGAAAAACACAAATAAGTAAAGGGGACAAATAACTGCTATCTTTCTACAAACTCACTAGTGGACGCGATAGGCACTTGGTTGTGTTACACAAAAAACCGAGCTACGAAACTGGATCAAACTGAGCCGACAACCTTTAGTACATATTCAACTTTAACGCGCTCCTTTCTTGATCTGTTTATGCTCCATCGTCGTTATTCGAACTGCCGACCACAAAATTCTGCACAGTATAATCACATAATTTGTCAAACAGTAGAAAACATGTCATTTCTTGAGAGGCTCAGGCTGTCATGCATATTGCACTCGGTTACGAAAG